CCACTACTGTTTTATGATTTGTTCTTGGTCAGCTGTGAAATGCACATCTTGCAAACAATAAATATGCGCCTTTTTATTCTTTAAAAACCTGAAAACTTGTTTCCTTTTGAAACTATTATTTAAGCCTCTACAATTTATAGATACTATCTTAAATGTTCCCTTTGAGTTTGTCATGAGGATAAAATGTTGTATACATCTTATAGCAACTATTTTCAAAACTGTACACTGTTTTTCTGAGATGGAAAATGCATACTTTGTTAAAAACAAACAAACATAAGAAAGTATACAAGTACATAGGAAGTTTGCTTCCTGGCTGGATATCGTATCCGCCACACAAATAATAAATATACATCATGAAACTCGCGTTTTCTTAACTTTCTGTCTCATGCAGAACTCATAGGCATTGCATTTATAATCTAATCATAAATGAAAACTGTAGTTAGCCAGTTGCTCTGGGATAATCAACGAACATTACCGTTTCTTACATGTAAGCCACGTTTTAGAAGTTATCATAAGTAATCTTACTTACATTAAAACAGAGTTCATACTTGTGAGGTGAAAAATGTTCAGAAAACATGTGCTGTGTGTCCTTCACCTTCAAAATCCAAAACATCCGGTTGGTTTCACGTGTTCTCTGTTTGTAAACAAATACACGTGGTTTACTGTCGAATAAAATTGTGGTTCCTCTGTCCATTGCTTATCTAGCCCTGACAACAATCCTAGAAGCATAAACAGATTCCACCGGATTCCCAGACGAGGTTGTGATAAAAAGCAATTAATTATTTAATCAAACAAATTCATAGCACAGTTTCAAAGAAACAGAAGGCAACAGAACAATCATTTGACACGTGAACCAGCACCACTGTGGGCGTTGCTGTATTATAAGTTTTGATCCAATTCTATTGGCTTCCAAGAAGAGTCACTGTTTTCCCTGTATTCAAGGATAACTCTCATTCCCCTCTCGTAGATTCGTGTTTGCACCTTGTGTTCTGTACGCAGGGCGTATGCCTTAGCTGCAAGCTTCCCCCGGTATTTCTTGAGGGGGACGGGCAGGTCTGTTCTTATAGATATTTTCTTATGCCTGAGAGTAGATGAATTCTTGTAACTGGCTTGCAGTACCTCCTGTCCATCGGACATATGTACAAACTTTACTACAATTGGTTTGGGGGAGTTTTGGGTGTGTTCGTTTGCACTCTGCCGAGGTAGGCGATGAATGGCGACAACGCTGGGTGACGAGTAGTCTGTCGTACAGACCCTGAAGCAAATATATCCAAGAAAGGCCACGCAAGTCTAGAAAATGTGGCAAGTCTAGATTTACTCAGCTTCTGAAAATGAAGAAAGTCTCAGGGCTCCTTTTCATTATATATATATTTTTTTTTTACTATGAACTTTTTTCAGTAAAATATCATCCGTCGTTGTAAGTAAATATTCGTCCATTTTTCCTGTTGGTAGTGCTTCCTTGTTTTCTGTTTTGCTACGTTAAAAACCTTTTCGTGTTCCCGACATTGTGTTCAAGTCAGATTGTGGCGGATTACGGGAGCTGATTCGTCTAGCGACCTGTCGCCATGAGCGTCTAACACGAAGTTTCCTTAGTAATCTTGATGAACATAAAGCGTTTTCTGGAGTTTTCTGGATTTCATTTTCTTTTCTTCTTCCGGTACCATCATCAGGTAAAACTAATAAACAGTTAACTGGGCCGGAACAGGGCCCGAATAAAAGAAGATGAAATCCAGAAAACTCTTTACGTTAATCAAATAGCATCTTCTAAAATGCCAGTCAAGCATTATCTCCTCTCAGTAGTTTAACATTAATGTTCTCCTTTTGATGCATTTCTTTGAACGTTTCTAAGTGACACCTAAACCAACCTTTTTATCTGCACTTTTCACAACTTAACCTTCATTTTAACTCACGCCATTTCCTACCTTATTCACATAGACATCTATCTGGTGTTCAATTTATTAAAATATTCGTTTCCGTTTCTAGTTTTTCATAATACCAAAGTAGTAATTAGAGGGTGCCTCGGTCTACTCCCATTTGTGAAAACTCCCAATTGTGAGACTCCCAGTTATGAGACAGTGGAGTAGGTAATTAACAACGAAAACACACCATACTCCCCGGTCTGATAGAATGGGTTAACCCTAGCTAATTACTGATTTGCTATGTAACTGAATTTTGTGGAAGTCTTTATGAAACTTTAAAAGATAAATTCATTAACATACACTTTGTGTAGGTAACTTCGTAATCATTGAAAGAGAAATTAATGTACCTACTCAGATTTACACCCGTCTCCGAAACTACAAGATATGGTTTAAGAAATAACTCTGAAATACAAGTTTACAGTCGAACTGCCTCTTATACCAAATCCTTTTTATCCGGCACTACCCGTTATAACCTGGATACCATTTTGAACGGAAACAAAGAATTTACTCCTTGTGTAAACCAGAAAATAGTTGAATCTGTCCACGATTATATCATCAAGACACAACGCTTCAAATTTTCTCAGGAAAATACTTAAATTAACTCAACAACCTTCTCATGATTGATTTAAATTCCTACAATAGCTTGTTAGACACACACAACTGTAACTCTCTAATTATGACTGCTTAGAGAATAGTTGTATTTGATGTATACTTAAAAATATATTTATGCAATAGTCAATATCGATGATGCCACATCCTCCATTTCCTTTTGTATTTTATGTTGCATGGGAGCGGTGTAATGCTTGCTCACCAATCCCAATTCATTTTCATAATAATAATAAATTAGGTTTAAACCAAAATGACTTTCAAACTTTATAATAGTCTATCTCTTCTGTGTAAATAGAATCTTGGATAATCTATTTCATTAATCTTCTCATCAATGACTCCTGTGGGTACTCTTCAACAACTGGGCTGATCCCACTTTCATTGTAGGGATGTGGAAACACCACCTATGTGCACTGAACCATTAATTAATGTGTCTCACAACTGGGAGTTCTCACAAATGGGAGGACACCAATCTACTGATTATGAACTAAATATGCTAGGCGTACGGAGTTTACGAGGTTATCCAGGTGGTACCATTCTACTGACACAAGTAACGATTTTATGTTTACTAGCTCATAAGTTATATCACAACAAATATGTCCAGAAGATCACTTTTGTCTGACATTCAAATACTCATTTTGACCGCCGTCCAACTCTTATATGAAATTCTGACGTGAGACACAAATGACGTCACAGCAAACATGTTGCTCATTACGTCCGCTTTGTCGTTTTTGAGATTACTAAACGAGTGTCTGTCTGATACCATTTATCTTACAACGAGTTGTTTCAAAACGTATTTAACGAGCGAAAGCGAGTTAAATACGTTTTGAAACAACGAGTTGACAATCATGAAATTTGAATCTATTCGACCATTAAATGGTGCGATTTTATGGTGTGTAAGAAACAGATTACTGTACTCGTGTCTGTCTGATACCATTTATCTTACAACGAGTTGTTTCAAAACATTTAACGAGCGAAAGCGAGTTTAATGGTCGAATAGATTCAAATTTCATGTTTTCTCATCGTAGGTGCGCAATAATACACAACACAACGTTTATGAATGAGTGACGCCACTTGGCTTCCTAATCACTACTCATCCCCATGGTGACCCTCCACAAAAAGGTTTCTGCCACCTCTTCGCATCACCAAGGCAATGGTGATAATGATAACTAGATAAGATCACAGAAAATTAATTAAACCCTCTAAAACGACGATGTTACCATGCAAATGTGGATGATTTTAATTCTTACAAGCGTAAACTATTTGCGCTAGGGACGTCATCGTTATCGCTTGGTGGTTGTCGTCATCGAAAGATTGTTTTGGATATCTCTGCTCATCGGGGATCTGTACTTGTGTACCAGTTTACGTTCAATGTTCTCCCTTCTTTTGAGTGTGTGTAATTAGGTGCACCCAGTGTGCTTGAATGTGACATTGCTGAGGTTACGTTCACTATCAATGGGGGATTACATGTGCCGCCATTTGCACTCATGAAGCCTTGCAACGTACCATGTCGTACATTGTTTCAACGAGTGTGTTTTGGTTCTGATTGTCATGAGTGAATTTCACGACAACATTGGAATCACATAGTATCTCGGAGCTGGAAGTGGGTCTTCATCATGTGTATCAATGAAAAATGTCATCTTCATCAATGCATCAGAGAAACAGCGAGGCAAATCGACCTCACAATGGACAGGCACTGACGTTATCGTGTCAGGTATTTTTGGAAGACGACACATGACACTTGTCGCATCTCTCCAGTAAAAGTACCAGTGTTGTACATTTTGAATATTCGAAGGGAATCAAGGGCTTTATCGCTAACGGTGATTTTCACATAATTGTTTTCACAGGTATCACTGATTGTTGGAGCCATTTTGAATTCATGACTAGGAATCAAAAGTTTTAATAAAAGGAATTAGAAAATAAATAGATTCGTGTTGTATTTATTCTACTTGTGACTCATTGTATAAATACCTGTTTATGTTGCAATCGCGAAAATAACAGGTAGGTGTAAAGAGGTTGTTTTTGGCACGAGTAACAGGTTTCTGTTCGATTGAAGCACGAGTAACTTATCAATGACTTTTAATCAGGAAAGTAGTCCGTCATAACCTGACCCTAGGTCATCACCATGGAGTAGCCAATCACGGGATTAGAAATCGATCTCACACATATGTGTGATACCAGTTTTCTCACATGGGTTTCTCACCCACGGGTGTGTAAGAAAAGATGGTAACATTATAGGTTGTGATGTGTAATGACAATATTAATTCCAAGTTTTTCAACAACCATATCATCATATTAATATCACAATACAGCCAGCCGCAAACTAGATTGATGGTAACACGTTGTAAAAGATGCAAACATTACGTAAATTATGTTTATTCGGTCAATCTATTAATATCTCGGCGTGTGTCATATATACACATAAAACACGGACATTACAAGTGACTACTAATGCTCATTGTTCTGTTGACATAGATGTTGATGGGGAGGACTATCTTGACCTGCAACAACTTAATTTGCTGAAACCGATATCTCATTTCTCTGGACTCGATTTCGACAAAGAAACTGCAGGTGTGTGTGATTGGAGGTGACACCGTTATAGTTACGTATTTTTCCCGCCTTAAGATCACCATATAATCTTTTATTATCCATATGGTGAAACATAACCAGTGTCATATATATCATATGTGCAAATGTGCACATATCACTTTTGCTCAGCAACCATTGTTTCTGTATTTCATCGTCTGTGACGTCATTAAGCAACTGGACGTGACGTCAATGAACAGGGCAGTCACACTTGCTAACCGCTTTTTACTGCACAAATGCACATGAATAAAAAAGACAATAACGAAATTATTACACTCGCAAGTGTGCCACACTACTTATATGAAACTCGTGCAACATTTCACACTCCAACATACAAACATACACAATTTTACACTCGTTTCATATAGGTCGCATGACACACTTGCTCGTGTAATAATCTCTATACCTGTCACAGATGCATACATAAAGGTAAAGAATACTTCTGTCTGGACATTACGTTCTAATGTTACAGATCGAGAAAAGAATTTGACGACACTCCGAAGCTGGGTTAACCCTGATGGTTCTGACAGAAAGCTCCTGTACAATGGAATGAGTTACGAGAACGGCTCCATCACAGTACCAGCAGCAGGAGTGTACCACATCACAAGTCACGTCAAGTTCTACATCGAGGACAACAGGAAGGATGACAAGCCATTCCAGACATTCCGGCACCAGGTTGTACGCTATAGCGCCTCCAGCCAGACGCAGGTCGTGTTGTTTGAGAATGCCGTGACTGAGTGTAAAGAGGGTATCAACGATGGAGCTCACCTGGAGTACCCGAGTGATGCTGGTGGACTGGCTCTGTTGGACGCTGGAGATCAGGTGATGGTGAAAGTATCACACTTACAGACGCTGAAGCATGATCGTGACTGGCACTATTTCAATGTACATATTGTATAGAGTGATGTTTGAGTGCCACTACCACTTAATGGTGATGTGACTGGCCGCATATTGACAGAACACGTAAGACACGTGCTTAGAAACTCAATTAAAAATGTTCTCAAACTAATTTATTGTTCTGTTGCACTGAAACGCATTTTTACTGCTTATGGTAATTTTCAAATTTTGTGGAGTATGAATCTTGGTAACATATGGGAGCGAGTCTTTCATTAGAACCAAAGGTAAGCCACATCGGGTGCAGTGTGTTTGTGCTGTCTTTCAAACTGAAAGATTTGGTTGGTTTGTTGTTTAATGCCACACTCAGCAATGTTCCAGCTATATGTCTGCGGTGTGTAAAATATAATGATCAACAGCATGGGCATAGATCTACGCAACTGGGATGCGATGAGGTGTCAACCAAATCAGCGAGCCTCACCACCCGATCCCGTTAGTCCCCTCCTACCACAAGCATGGGTTGCTGAAGATCAATTCTAACCCGGATCTTCGCGGGTCTCAAACTGAAAGAGCAGAAAGTAACAGACCATCTCTCTTCTCTCTTCTCGGATACAGTTTCAGTAATAACAACACATCTGATAGGGTATACTTTACATTTTTAGTATATTATACTTCGAATGATGTATAGGATACCCACCAAATGCACTTCCTTGGACACCAGTGGCTACACACGGTCAGACACTCACGGGTATTTCAGGTGGTACTGTTCCTGGTGCGACCGAATGCTTTATTAGAACTACAGTCCGTTTGGCTCAAAAGCGGACCGATGAACTGCAATCCAACTCGAAAACTAAAAAGCGTATAATACTCAATGAAACACTGATCATAATCAAAACATCAGACCAACTCTGTTTGGTTTTCACGAAATGACTGATAACACAGTCTGACTGTACATTACCATGAGTTGGCACTCCCTTATGTTGATTTCAATGATCAAGACTGTTATGTATAAATGAGCATTAACGTGTAAATGTGTAACAGGTTGGCAGCCTATAGTGTCTGGCCTGTGATATGGTACAATGTACTATCTCACATCAGTGAGTTTGCTTCGACGCTGCGTTGAACAGTGTTTCACTTTTTTACGCTATAGTTGTCCCCCCTTTGTTCATGAGGTATCCGGGGTTGGAGGAAAGCGTTCTCTCGTCACGCAGAAGGATGGGACATAGCGAGCTGACACATCGGAAGATTTGACATTTACTGTTAGAAACGAGGTCGTGCCTGAATATTGCTAAGGCGGCGTAAAACCCAATTCACTCACTCACTCACTCATGAGGTATCCGTGGATACCGTCTTCAACGTTGCATGCACGTGCACAGGGATGGAGAACTAGTTACATTATGACAGCACAGAAGTGACTGGATGGACAGTGGGGCGTCCACATGTCACGCCGAAGACATGGATCCTATTTCCTACATGGGTACAATGTCATAGTAATGTCCATTATTGTTGTACTCTGTCGTGATACTGCTGGAATACTGCTACATCGGCGTAAAACTATACTCAGGCACATACATAAAGAAACCCTGGATCGCCGAGGATGTACAAACTAGTAACAGAAATATCAGTATGTCCCTAGAGCTTCTCCCTGAAAGCGTGTTATCGCCTCGCATTCATAGTTATTATATAAAGAATACACAGCTTGCGAATACCATTTAACATGTTTTAATACGGTACAAGTGCTTGCAAACGTATTTAGGGGACGTTTTCAGGGAAGGCGTATCTGTGTCCCACGCACAACAGAGCTAAAGACCAAGAGAGAAAAGAGCTTTCCGGGGACCAAGGGCTGCCCTCACCGACCGGTTCCTAAAGCCCGCACGAAGCCAACGCATAACTGCACGTTCCCTTCTCAGACAAGTCACTGAAATCGATATATTCAGATCTATTTGTGTGATTTTTAACGGATTTTTAGTTCTATTTTACATATGAACCCCGTTTGGTGAGAGGTTTATCACGAGGTTTGTCGCGAGAGAGTGACATGAATAACAAATGCGTGAGTTTCAAGCCAAAGGCGTAATAGTTGGTAGATATGCCTTTGGTAGTTTGGGAGTTTCATGGGGGTTCAGATCCCCATCTCTCTCTCTCTCTCCCCCCCCCCCTTTTGAAAATGACTAAAGACCCATGTAACCTTTGTATGCGTAGCAATCATGAATCTAATCAGCATAGCGTTCAAAACAGAGATTGACTATAGGTGCTTGGAACATTCCTACCCGTGTAAGGGAAGGACTACGCAGTATATGATGCTTTGACACGCTATAGCATTCAGAATGATTCATTTATTTTGCCTTATTTCATTACAGTGTTAAAATGTGTTATAGAACGTGAGTGTCCCATTAAGATAATTATCAAGTGAAATGTTCGGTTAAGCTCCTACGTAGAAAGACTTATTTGTTAATCCAAGTACGTATAGTGTATGTTTTTACATGATACATAATGCATGAGATTAGGCTAATTAATTGGTTGTTTTCGTAACGGTTCAGCTCTCCGGGTTTCAGGAATGCTGATCCACTGACTTCAGGGGCTTACTAGTTACACTGAAAAAAGAACACAAATAAGTCATGCGTAAATGCCTTTAGTGAGATCTGGATATACTGAATACAATCAACATCTGATTAAAATATAATGAGGTGTCAAACGCGCTACTGAAGTTTGAATAAACCTCCCTTGAATAATCAATGCTTCTACAGATGCGGCGTCCTCACGTCAGATGAAGATGTGGCAGTGATCTCTAACCACTGATGCTGATAGTGCCTGTACGCTTTCGCTCATTAAACATGTTACTGGAACAGATGTTCACCCTTATGTTCTCTAATTTCCTGGAACCAAGTGGGGACGTTGTTCTTGTGAGGAGTCAGTTATCCTGTGCCTCGGACTGCACTGCTCTGGACGATTGTTCTTCGTTCTTCTACAACCCCGATTCCAAGTCATGTCTGGTCACTCTACAGCGTCACTTTACCACTGCTGGGCTCGTGTCAACATCTGGCTTCAAGTACTACATGGCACGTTCAGGTCAGTTCTCATTCCCGGGACAAAAAGTTCAGAGCACTTGTCCAAAGTTACCAGCTTTTGGTTTGGTTGATACTTCTAATGCTATTACACAAGGTTTGGTTTGGCTGACACCTTAGTCCTTGGATGTCGTTAATACGCTCATTTCTGTAAGTTCTAAAACAATAACATGGTGTGTCAACTGCGGCAATATGTCTACCTCTAACTCTTTCAAAATATAGCATGTTTTTGGCGAGAGAGCATGTCTTGACGACATAACATGTCTTTGATCATATAAGATGTCTTTGACGATATAGCATGTCTTTGACGATGTAGCATCTTTGACGATGTAGCATCTTTGACGATATCGTATGTCTTGGAAGATATAATATGTCTTTGACGATGTAACATGTCTTTGACGATATAGCACCTTTGATGATGTAGCATCTTTGACGACATAGCATATCTTTGACGCTATAGCATGTCTTTGATGATATAAGGTGTTTTTGACGATATGCCATGTCTTTGACGATGTAACATGTCTTTGATGATATAGCATGTCCTTGACGATACAGCATGTCTTTGACGATATAACATGTCTTTGACGATATAACATGTTTTTGCCAATGTAAAACATTTAATATAGCATGTATTTTGACGATGTAGCATGTATTTTGACGATATAGCATGTCTTTTACGGTATAGCATGTCTTTGCAGATGTAAATCTTTGAGCTGTATAGAATGTATTTTGACCAGCAAAACTTCACAACTAGTTAGGAATGCATAAAACATCTATATATTATTAACATCTTACGGAAGTATACATGTTGCTGACAATCGCGTCTAGATTTAAAGTATTATTTTCATTAAGGGTTTAAAACGCTTTGCAAGTATAAGATTGCTTTGAAAATCCAACAATGCTCAGTTTTGTTATTTGTAAAACAAAAAGAACCGCCATTGTCGCACCAAAATGGTAGTATTGAAATGTTAGTATGTCTGTATTGTTTGTCCATATTGTAAAATCAAATTGACAAGTATAGAAATAGAATCGCAGTCTTTCCTACATTGAACTTTAACCCTTTGACAATTAATGCTTTCCTATCAGATAATTGGACGTCATATCTACTGCGCCACTCGGACGTCCGCTGTGTGGTAAATGCCTGTTAACATCTGGCCACGACAGCAGTTTACTCTCTTTAGAATTACAGTGAACTGCGATTTTAACGACCTCAAAGGGACCTCCGATTTTAGTTTGTTACAACGTAGTTCGTTATGCGCATTTCGTCATATCTGTCAGTTCGTTAGAAACACTGTTATAGCTATCGCTCTTCACGCCGAAGACCTGGGTTCGATTCCCCACATGTGGAAAGCCCATTTCCGGCGTCCCCCGCCGTGATATTGCTTAATATTGCTAAAAGCGGCGTAAACGTAAACTCACTCACTCATCCAGCTGTTCGGCTAATTTTGAGAATGATAATGCCACCCATCATATCACTAAGATTGCTTTGAAAATCCAATAATGCTCTGTTTTGTTATTTGTAAAACAAAAAGAACCGCCATTGTCGCACCAAAATGGTAGTATTGAAATGTTAATATGTCTGTATTGTTTGTCCATATTGTAAAATCAAATTGACAAGTATAGAAATAGAATCGCCGTCTTTCCTACATCGAACTTTAACTGTTGAAATGTAAAAACATAGTTGTTAAGGGTGGTGGGTAGTCTAGTGGTTACAGCGTTCGCTCGTCTCACCGAAGATCCGGGTTCAATTCTTTAAATTGGCTCAATGTGTTAAGCCCATTTCTGGCGTCCACCGATGTGATATTGGTGGAATGTTTCTAAAAGCGGCACTAAGCTTTATTCACACACAGGGGTGAAGGTGCTACAGAATCTAGACTTGCCATAATATAAATCCAATCCCCTGTTGTTTTTAAGAGTCTACAGTTAAGCATTCTGAAGGGGGAAAAGCCACGCTGCGAGCTGGACTTTTGTTACATGCAGGTTGTCACTGCATATAGAATCTGTATGTTTTCTTCACTGAACGTATTAGCGAATCAAATTTCTCGTTTGTTCATATTCCATTTTTTATTCAAGGTTGAGAAATGAGGACAAACTATTATTTCCTTTCTTTCGAAGTATCTTGTATTTTGTTTTAACAGCAATTAATGGTACCGAGGTCCAACAAACGTGATCATCTTTATCGAAGTATTGTTGGAACAATGAAATGGGTTATGAAACTCTGTGTTTTTCAGACTGCAACAACATATGGACTGTAGCGGGGATGTCTTGCTTCTATAAGAGTACAGACAGGAAAAACGTTGCCGACGCAAGGGTAGTATGCTTGTTTTTCATCTTGATGACAAAAATGAAACAGACACTTCACACTTGGAGAAATGCATTATATTGAAAATGTGTTGTACAAGGTAGTTAATATAGGCGAATACCATACCTAACGCATCCACATTTCAACTGTGCTGAACCACGCAGGGTGGATGCAGCACGCTCTTTTGTGAAAACGCGGCCATGCACGTCACGTGACCACAGTTTCATAGTGCCTAACCACCAACACGTGTGCAGAATTTGCTGTTGATTAGAATGAAAACAATCCTTGAGAGATTAACAATTTGCATGCTACGCCTTACAAATGTTGAACGTGAACGTGCAATTGGCATGCTCTCGTCTGGCGAGTCTACTGTGGCTATTGCACATGCCATGAGATGCAGTAAGACGGACAATTCACATGTGTCCATCGAACGGGTAACGACATCTGATCGTCAAAGGTCAGGACGGTCACGTGCCGAGGACAATAAAATTCGGCTACGTCATTTGCGTAATCGTTTTACGACCGCAACGTTAACTCGGGGTCACTGTTTAGGGGGCGCGTAACTGCTCAGACCATACGAAACCACTTGCACATTGCCCATCTTCGTGCCCGACGTCCGTATTTTGGTCCGATTCTGACACAGGTGAACCGTAATGAACGTCTACCCTGGGCACAAATACACCTGCAGATGCTAAATTTCCTGCAAAATGCGCGCATTGACGTCAAGGAGCAATCATCGAGATCACCTGACCTCAATCACATCGAACACATGCGGGATGCTCTTGGAAGAAGTCTTCGTACATTGAGACGTCAACCCTAGATTATTCAAGAGCTGGGCACCCTCTTGGTACAGCAATGTAGCAGGTTACCTGATGCTGTGTTAGGCAGTCAAGGAGACACATTTCCTGTCTGTTGTGAATGCGCAAGCGGGGCATACGCGCTACTGAACAAGCTCCAGTACAGATGGCTAGTTCCGGTGAAATGAAAAGGTGATCCCATCTCGCTACTGTTGACTGTGGAGAGTGCACCAAGCGCACATTAATGCCTAATTCTGTTTTAGTGTACGCTCACTACGTCCACGTGTATCGTGTATCCACTAGCAACACGTTTATTTCTGTATGGGTATGTTTGGGACATAAAGTAACACATGTGAAGTTTCTATTTTGTTCAGTATATATATACTCAAAGGCAAAACTTTTTTGTGACATGGAATATTTTCATTGGTAATCTTGTGAATAAGTAATGGTTAGCTTCTTTGTGATTCAAACCACAGGCCCTCGTGTCTTTGCGAGGATTAAAGGTTTTGAAAAAATACAAAAATTTTAGATGACCCCCGACTCGAAATGCTTCACAGTACAATAAATGATGCATATGTACTGTGAAGCATTTCGAGTCGGGGGTCATCTCAAAAATGTATTTTTCTAATCTTTAATCTTCGCAAAGAAAGAGGGCCTGTGATTCAAACCAGAGTAAGAGGGTCGAAGAAACGCAGTATTAGTAGTTCTTGTTGGAATTTCGTGAAATTTGCAAGAAGGATGAAAGCAATGTTCACGTTTAACGGCCAGACAACCAGACGATTATCATTTCCATTCAATGTAGTCTGACGTAGTGCAGAAAAAACACCTCCAGTCATCGTTCTGGAAGACGTTTGACATGCCATGTCTCGTGGGAAAAGACAGATGGGAGAGCTGTAGGCAAGTTTCAGTCTCAGTGTGACGTTGATCTTCGATTCAACGTCTATAGAAACGTTTGGCAGTTGTGGCGAAACAATCAAGTTATAGACCGTCCCCATAGTGGGCACACACCAGTAACCCTCCGTCAGGACCGATTGATTAGAACCATGTACCATCGACACAGGTTCTAGCCAGCAACCCTTACAACCGAATCATACCTGGCAACAGATGTGTATCTTTGGGAACAGATCGACGTCGTCAACGCGACAATGGCTTCCGTGCAAGACACCCAGCCCGACGGCCAGTACTGACGCCAGAATGGCTACGCCTTTGTCTAACAACACTTGCGATAGGGAGCACGTGATTGGAGAAATGAGTCTGGATAACGTCAGGCACGTTGCTTTAGGTGTACAGAAATATCTTAATCATATCATTGTTATGAATACACAGTGCCATTTAGGAAGTGATTGAACGTAGCATAATATATTTTTTGTTATTACACTTTAAGCATTCCAGTACATTTACAAAGTTGCGTCCCATCCGAGATTCGGACTTTCAAAGTCAGACACTTTAATACCAGCACACAAAGTCAGACACTTTATTACCAGCACACAAAGTCAGCGATCTAACCCACTCAGCCAGCGCAGCTTCAGCAAAAATTGAAGTCGGACAACTGATAGTCACGTACAAGTGTAAACTGGCATGACTATGGATACACTTTGATATTTAGAAATTGAGAATGTGTAATCCCAACTACAGCATATGCTACAGAACATTGCTATTGTATTTATTATCCTGACCCGTAAGATCCCCTGATGTATAACCAACGGAACACGACTGGGATGGAATGGAGCGGTGTTTACGACGCCCTCCGAATGCGCCAACAACGCTGCAGGAACTCTATGTCGTATATGGAATGATGTTCGCCAGGACTACCATCAATATTCAGTGGCCTCAATGAGGTGGAGGTGGCAGACTGCATCAATGCACAAGGTGGACACGGACCATGTGGCTCATATGCTAGTAATCGCTACCATACCTTGAACCATTGTCTTTCCATGATATAACATTTCATTCGCGGCACTGATTATGTTTGTAGTTTTGTGTCACTATAACGTTTGCCTTTGAATTTAAATGGAAGAATGCATGAATGTAAGAACGATCACAAGTGAAGGGGTGTCACGATTCACACTCACTTCGATTCATGATACGATTATCGATTCAATTCGTTCGATTCGATTAATCGATTCGATTCGCGATTAATTTCGAGGACAAAGTCAAATTTGTTGTAATATCAGTATAATTTGGCAAACTTTGGAAAATTGGCAGAATGCACAATTAGAACACTGTCAAGACAAGTTGTCAACAAATACTCTCTGAACAAGTGATCCTGAAATTATCTTTCAGTGACGAACTGTGGTGCCAAGTGTTCATTGTGACTGTATACCTAATGTCACTGTAAGTCATTTGGAATGATCATGTTCTGTGCAAAAATTTCACGTGAAAGACATGCCCTCTGGGCACTTACAATGTCTCTGGCCGTGGAGAATACCCTCTCATTGGCCACACTTGTAGCAGCGAATTTTCAACATAACTTGTTACGATTTCAGGTGAAACAAACTCTCAGTATTAGAAAGTAAGTACTTTATGAATCGAATCGAAATGGATGCATTTGAAATCGAGATCGAATCGTACATCTATCTATTCGATTTTCGATGAACCGAACCGAATCGTGACACCCCTAATCACAAGAGATCACAATGCCCCATGAATCTCACAAAATATAATGCACATGTTATACGTACACTATTGGCAGGGTCTCCACAACGCTATGGATGTGTGTGGGGATGCGTGCGTGACAGATATCGGGGATTTAGACAGATATCGGGTTTTTTCAGTGTATACAATTATGCACATAATGGCAATAAAATACACACATGTAGCTCATCAGACTCATCTTCATATCTCCAGCTCGCGTGTGCTGGTATGGGCGCTCTCATGGCATCCACTAACTCAGAACAAGAAAACAGAGTCATCAAGAAAAGTAAGTATGCCTACGGAATCCCGTTAGGTTTATGTCATTTATTCGTTTCTCGAAAATTCAAAATATCATGCAAAAAAATAATGATACTAGTGCAACATTTCGGGATATTCGTTGAAATCTCAAGATTTGTTGAAAATTGCAGAATCTATGTCGAAAATGTCTGTGATATCACGCTGAAGTCTAAAGACAACACGTTCAAAACCATGTTTAGCATTGCTCTTGCTTGGAAGTTTAACATTGTTTCTTTCAATGTCATCATCTCACCTTCCTTGAATTTTCAAAAATAACTGAATGGCATGATGGATATTTCATGCTGATTTGGCATTCAGTAAATATAATATTTGATTAAACCTCCAGGCGTTATCAACGTTTCACTTACAACATAACTGTAATACAAAAGACGAGTTCGGTTCTCCTGCACAGCAAAGTGAAACACCTTTCCCCAAAGGGGACGGTGGGATAGCCCAGCCTTTTTAGATCAATACTCTGTCTACATGTTTTCTGTAATGTTGGTATAGTGACGTGAAACTCTCACAAACCTGGAATCTGTAACGCTATAAAGAAATAGCTTGACAATTTTGTTATCTTTCCAGGTTAGGGTTTAAACCTAGCAACTTAGATTTGGTGGTCAGGTTCACAGTTGATTACCCAGATGGTGTGTTTTGTTGCTTGTAATACCAGTCACTGGATTGTCTGGCCCAGACTTCATTATTTCCAGGCCGTCATCCTATAGCTGGAATGACATGATATTAATAATAATAATAATAATAATAAATGGATATTTCTTTTGCGCCATAGTCCATCCAGAGCATGCTCAAAGAGCTACATATAAAAAGAGTCACTAGAGTTCAAGAGGAAGATATGACAATTCGTCAAAATGGCCATGAGAATATTTCGCAGTTATAGGTTGTAGACTTTTTTTGAAGAAGAAGGTTTTGAGTCCCGATTTGAATGCTTCTAAGGATGAAGCATTTTTTATGGGAGTAGGAAGACTGTTCCATAGGGTTGGTGCTGCAGATTTGAATGACCTATGGCCAAAGTGTTTGAGACGAACTTGGGGAACTGAGAGAAGATGTTGATTCTGATTGTTACACACAGTAGTACATTTTACTTCGTTCCAGAATTCGGATCAGGATTTTGGATTGGAGGCAGTGATGAAATTCAGGAAGGGAAGTGGATCTGGCCAGATGGTCAACCGGTTACTCTCAACTTTTGGGCAGAAGGTCAACCCGACAACGGTACCGACGACCAGTGTATGGAGCAATGGGGACATAAGGAGGGGTGGAACGATGGACCCTGTTGGTATCCAACGTTTTATTTATGCGAAAAATAGTTTATAAAAATGGCACAACACTTTATCCAAACTTACAAAGGAATGTCGGATTCTGCTTCTTTCTCTTAATTTGAATCTTCCCTGTACATTTCTCACAGCGTCCGCATAAATTTGCGAACTATTACATAGGTAGCATATCAACCGCATTCTTTTTCTCGAATTCGCGTATCATACCACGCCTTATGGTTAGGTTCCGCGATCTTAACGCTAAGGTGACCGTAACTCCCATACCTTAAGATAGACTAAAGGTAGTCTTAGCGCTGAGGTTGTTTTGTACAACGGCACCCAGTACAATAATGTTCAGATCTATCCTATGAGACCGTATGTAATCATCAGAACCAGACAAAGTAAACATACGTTTTATGAATATCACTTTATTGGTTAGCAATCGCCTCCAACCTCTTAATCAGGCTGAATATGTCTCTCAGGTGAAATTTCTCTCTACACTTGGATTATTCAAAATGAACTGTCAGCCAATGATATTTAGTCTCTTTATATTTTGGCAATTCCAAATGACCAATGAACATAGCTGTAGCAAATTAGGAGCCACGTGACCATGTGGGTAGTGCGAAATAATTGTCCCGCTTTACTTCATAATTAATGCGGAAATCGAGTCTTCTCTTAATCTCTAATTTAAACACATTCTGTGTTTTTATTTTACTGATCGAAAACGTTAATAAACTGACACACTTTCAGTTCAAAACAATTTTACACGTAATAGAGCACACTTGTACTAATTCAATGCATAGTTTCGAGACCCGTGAAGATCCGGGGTAGAATAGGTCCCCAGCAACCCATGCTTGCCACAAAAGGCGACTATGCTTGTCGTAAGAGGCGACTAACGGGATCGGGTGATCAGGCTCACTGACTTGGTTGACACATGTCATCGGTTCCCAATTGCGTAGATCGATGCTAATGTTGGTAATCACTGGATTGTCTGGTCCAGACTCGATTATTTACAGACCGCCGCCATATAGCTGGAATATTGCTGAGTGATGCGTAAAACTAAACTCACTCACTCACTCGCATAGTTTCGAATTGCAGAATTGGAAAATCCATTCCGTTTTAATAGCACCCATAAGCTTTTCCTGGAATTTAGCAAAGGATTGGTTTCCTAGAATCGGTTCGAGATGTGTGTTCAGTAACAGTGGCGCAAGTGCTGAGCGCTGAGCATACCGTCTTTGTAATCACTGTGCGAACCCACGCGATCTTATAGACGCTGGCCGGCAGTGACATTATATAGGACCATGTTTCCTCCGTCCGTCACTAATACTTCATTCACAGACATAGTTAGACATGACAAAGACCTTTGATATGAAACGTCATAAACTGGAGATGAGAGTTCCATATTTGCAATGCAAGTACCGATCTCTAATAGAAGCCAGTCTCTAACAGCTATGGTCATCGTGATGCTCTTGAAATCAGCTTCAAACCCAAAATCATCTCACATCCTTCTCACTAAATTTCTTAATTTACTCAGGTGCCTCCAACGTTGATTTTTAGAAAAAGCTTTTTTTGTTTATGAAATTGTAACTGTCCATATCACGCCTAGTTGTTAGTAATATTCCAGATCTATGTAGGCGATCTCAGGCATGTTCCTTGCACCTTGACCAACTCGTGTTATCCCGGAAAAGCCGAATAGCTGTCACGGAAAGAGGCGAGCAGTTGCATATGAGGTACGAGCCTTCTTGTAGGTCACGGAGAAGAAGCGAGTAGTTACGAATGATTCCTTCTTTTGTGATTTACTATACATACACGTTTTTGACTATCGTATGGCCATTAGGGTTAACATTCCAAGACATCTGATCTTTGAAACTAAGTGAGGTGAGGTGAAATTGGGTTTAACGTCCTGCTTGAGAATATTTCGCTCATATGACGACGTGCATGTGTGTGTTTGTGTATGTGCGGCTGCTTGTACTAGCCCAGACTTAAGCTGGTTTTATAGTGCTAGATCACTGAGATACCATGCCGCAGTGAAGCATGAATACCCCACTCAGGCACATTATACTGACTCCGAGCCGACCAGTCCTTGTTGTACCCATTAATGCCGAGCGCCAGGCAGGGACCAACAAGTACCATATTTTAACGTATTTTGGGATGACGCGATCGAACCCGCGACCTTCCGCTCTCCGGGCGGACGCTCTAGCCACTACACCACGGAGGCGGTCTTGAAACTAAGTAAATGTAATTGTTAACTTCAGTGTAGTCTCTCTAGAGACATGGTAGGTTTATACTCAGCAGGATTACACCCCACAGTTTACTCATAGTAAAATACCTCATCTTGTTTCTCTATTTCCACCAGGGTTAATTGATGCACAGTGAATGCATGCTTGGAAGAAATGTCCCGATGCCTGTCTTCTTCCACGCTTTGTGGATCGTTTACAATTGTAGACTGGCTGTCCGACTAAATGTTGATACATTGTAACATACAGGATCTCCTGGCTGAAAGTCTAGTGAGATTATATCGTCGCGCATTGGCAATCGTGCGTATGTTTATAACGTTTGTGTGAATCTACCCATTCTACACCTGTCTCAAGAATAGGGATACGTTTACAGTTCCAACTCCTGTCAGTCTACCCATTCTACAACTATCTCGCCAATGGTGTACCCTTTACAGTTCCAACTCCTGTCAGTCTACCCATTCTACAACTATCTCGCCAATGGTGTACCGTTTACAGTTCCAACTCCTGTCAGTCTACCCATTCTACACCTATCTCGCCAATGGTGTACCGTTTACAGTTCCAACTCCTGTCAGTCTACCCATTCTACAACTATCTCGCCAATGGTGTACCCTTTACAGTTCGAACTCCTGTCAATCTACCCATTCTACACCTACCTCGCCAATGGTATTACGTTTACAGTTCCAACTCCTGTCAGTCTACCCATTCTACACCTATCTCGCCAATGGTGTACCCTTTACAGTTCGAACTCCTGTCAGTCTACCCATTCTACACCTATCTCGCCAATGGTGTACCGTTTACAGTTCCAACTCCTGTCAGTCTACCCATTCTACACCTATCTCGCCAATGGTGTACCCTTTACAGTTCCAACTCCTGTCAGTCTACCCATTCTACACCTATCTCGCCAATGGTGTAAAGTTTACAGTTCTAACTCCTGTCAGTCTACCCATTCTACACCTATCTCGCCAATGGTGTAACGTTTACAGTTCCAACTCCTGTCAGTCTACCCATTCTACACCTATCTCGCCAATGGTGTACCGTTTACAGTTCCAACACATGTGAATTTACCATGCCCATACCGTTCTCGAAAATGGTGTCTCTAAAACTAACTCTCGAAATTCCTATCCTTATCTAAACTTGGCCACATTATTCATCCATATTTTACGTGAGCTGCAGTGCCTTGTGACTGTATTTATAATTATTAATTTGTTCTCTACCGTCGTGACCATGCGGCTGAAACATTTGATAACTACACCGCAATTGTAAAGTTTTTAGGAATCATTATTGTATCGCTTAACCACTTTTGATGGACATATACTGAGTCAAAAAAGAAACTTCACATTCTTTCTGCAGGGCACTATAAAAGACCAGGAGATGGTAAGATGGTTAAATTGTTATTATTTCATTGCTGAGATCTATGTGATGTACTCGATACACTGACAGTGCCATAATCAGTTCCATTAGGCTACACCGCCGTTCCAAAACATGGGTATACAGAGTGTCAAGTCACAAGAGTAAAAATGCGAAATTTCTCAGTTCAATATCGTGTATGGCCGCCCCGCGCATTCGCCACTGCCAAACACCGTCTCCTCATCGACTGCCTGATGCTTGTGAACACGTGGTTGGGGATTCTGCGCCATTGCCCTTGCAAGGCAGCGCCAAGTTCCTGCAAATTCTGAGGTTGGTTCCTAAGACCACGAAGCCTTCTCCCAAGTGCATCCCAAATGTGCTCTATTGGATTAAGGTCAGGGGACCTCGATGGCCAGTCCATGACGTTGATTCCAGCGTTTTGAAGGAAATTTCGTGTCAACATCGCGGTATGCGGCCGAGCATTATCATGCTGGAACTGTAGACCTGGGCCATGAGCCGCCATGAAAGGAACGAGTTCAGGGTGAGCACCTGGTCGCGGTAAGCAGCAGCTGTGAGGTTTCCACGGATAACCAGAAGTCGGGAACGGTTGTTCCCACAGAAAGCACCCCACACCATGCAACTTCCGCCCCCGAATCTGTCGACTTTCTGTACACAACATTGGGCATACCGTTCACGACGTCGTCTCCAGACTCTATGCCTGCCGTCCGCGAATCTGAGGGTAAACCTGGATTCATCGCCTAAGACGACTCGATTCCAGTCTCTCTGGGTCCATCGGAGGTGACGTTGGGCCCACAGCAGACGTTGACGTTGATGAAACGGCGTCAATATTGGCTCACGATATGGACGTCGAGAATAGAGATTGGCAGCCCGCAACCGATTTCGAATAGTCTGTGAAGACAGTCGACCTCTAAACATCTCAGCCCTGGTTCGTGTAGCCGGCAGAAATCTGTCACGTAGGTGACGTAGGACGATTTGACGGTCTTCTGCTCGTGACGTCACACGTGGACGACCCGACCTTGGGCGATCAGAAGTGGTGCCAGTTTGTTGTAGACGACCTCGCAAGTCATACACAGTACGACGGCTGCATCCCATTGCTCTTGCGACGTCAATAACTGATCTTCCCGCTTGCAACATGCCAACGGCACGTTCACGTTGCACATTTGACAATCGTGACATTTCAAGTACCGTTAGAACTGTGGTTTAAAAGTGTTTTTTCAATTCTTGAGGCCAATGCAAACACGTGCATATGAAGAAAACTTCGATGCGAAGATCACGTGATCGACTGCACGTGCAAAACCTGATTTGGCACTAACGTCATTTGCACGACGAATGGATGGGTTTGAGTGGTTTTGCTAACGTTTTTCTAGAGTCGAAAGATAGGGATCCCATTTCGGATACATAGATGTATCATCAGAGAAAAATTATTCATTATTTTTCAAATTACATTTTGTGAAGTTTCTTTTTTGACTCAGTATATATAGATTTGAATGTATGTCTTGTTATAATAAAGAGTTTAGTTGGTGCTGTGTTTACTTTAATTTGCATATTGCAAAGAAAACCGTATTGGATTATGTAATTTTGACTGATCAATTACACAGCAGGTATAGGTTAGTCCCATTAGTTTATACTGTGTGGATGTGGAGACCAAGACAGCTGACATGCCAAGCATGATTCTTCTTAACTTGTGAGTGAGTGAGGTTAGTTTTATGCGCTTTTAGTCCAGCAATATCACGTCGGGGGAGACCAGAAATGGTATCCACACATTATAGCCATGTCGGGGGTCGAACCCGGGTGTTCGTCGTGGCGAGCTAACACTTTAACCACCAGGCCACCCCACCGCCGCTATAGTAGTGAGTGAGTGAATGTATTTTTAAGCCGCATTCAGCAATATTCCAGCTGTATGGTGGTGGTCTGTAAATAATCGAGTCAGGACCAGACAATCCAGTGATCCACAGCATGAACATC